GCACTCACTCTAGCCCGGGCAAAAGAGTGAGACTCTGTCTCAAAAAAAAAAAAAAAACTGGAAGATTTTACCTGGAAATTCAGATTTTCCAAGACTTTCCCATTCCCACATGTTTACAACCAACAGGTGCTCAGGGTGTAGAATCCTGCAGATGGAACCCCAGCCGGTCTGGAATGGCCCTGTGCACAGCCCCAGGAGGGCTTCCGACATTGAGTGGTCTCCATAAGGAGTGCATTCAGCAGCAAGTCACAGGAAATACAGCTGACAGTAGCTTGCGTGAAAGTGGACAGATGCTGCCAGAGCAGGCTCAGCATCCTGCAGACTTCAGGGCAGCAGCTCCAGGACCCTGCGCCATTGCCTTTTTTGACATGGCCATCTTCTGTTTCCATCCCATTGACCAAGCCCCTGACACACCCCTGCACCCATCCTAGTGAGTTCCTTGAGTGCAAGCAACACAAGATGAAAGACGGCCAATGAAGGGATCCGTATGCAGCAGTGTCCAGCTTCAGTCCTAAACCCCAGTCAAGCTCTCACTCTGGGCAAGTGTCAGGCTAGCCTTGGCCTGGGCATTTCCAGGAATAGGGACTTCAAGCCTTGTGTCCAAGCTTCTTCCAGGGGTGTAGCTGGACTTTCCCCTCCTATATCAAGTTACCCTGACCCCCAAGACTGGGGCCTTGGCCTCAGGAAAAGCAGACAAACCAGCTTGGGCTAGAGGCCACTCCTGGTTAAGGATCTGCAGAATCAGAGGGGTGGTGACTGGGCCCATCAGTAGGCAACTACTGCAATACTATCAGCAGGGCTGAGGGCCTGGACAGAATGACCACTTGGCCCCACACAGCCACAGCCATGAGAGGAATTCCAGGAAGGAACCACCAAGGCCCTGGTCAGCTGGAGCGGCTATAACAATGTGCCCAGCCAGCCTCTCCCTGGATGGTCTGGACCTTAGGCCATATTGTTTGCTCCCAAGTTAAGCACCCCTCCCCACAATGCCACATCCATCTGGTTATTCTTACCCCAACCCCAGCCTCCTTAATTCTATCTACTCACCTTCTAATTCCAGCCTCCCACCTCTGGCCTGGTGGAGCACGGCACCTACCTTCAGCCTCCCTTCCCTGACTGCTTCAGCCCCCTCCTCTCCAAAATAGACCCTGTCTTTCCAGTGTCAGGTCCCAGAAGCTACACTAACACCCGCAGCCCTCTTCCCAGTCCCTCTGACGCACTAGCCTTGGTTTCCCTCAGAGCCTTTGCATATGCCAAGCCCTGTGTTGCCTCCCTATAGGCAGCAGGGCCAGGGGCCACAGGCACTCTCACCTCCCAAGCCACCCAACTCCAATGCTCCCCTGTCACTTGGGCAGCTATGAGGGTGACAAGGAAGATACAGCTGTACCACATCCAACCCAGCACCCAGCTTCAATTTGGCCATCCCCTCCTCCCTGGTCTGGACCCCACTACCCCCTTCTTCCTAGCATGTTGCTGCATGGTTCATGGTCTTCCCCACTGCGAAGACCATGGTGAGCCATGAGGATGGAGAACACACAAGTCCAGCTTTGGCTAGTCCAGGATCACATCTCTGGGGGACCAATACTCCATTCTTAGATGGGTCTTCACCAGATGGACCTCAGCAATTGACCTGAGGATGGACACATGGAGCAGGCTGGCCAACAGGAACTACCCTGACCCTGGATGGAAACAGCAAGAGGGTCATCGACTGCCACATGGAGATGGCCTGAATGAAAATAATCAGCACGGAGCAGGGTGGCTGAGAAGAGCGAGCAGAGAAAGAGAGGGAGACTCAGTCTGCAGGGGCCCTCTGAGTCCCGGAACCAACCATGTGTGAAGCCTGAGGAAGGTGGGACGATTGAAGTCATGTTGGCCCAAAAATCCAAGCTGTTTGAGGCTTCTGAGCCCCTTTCCTCACCCCAGACGTCTCCAGCACTCAGCTCTCAGGGGTAAAGACAAGAAAGGATGCTGGGGGTGTGAAGCTGGGACAACAAGAGGGCTGAAGGAGGAAGGAGGCTCCTTAAGGGACAGGAGAGGAGGCTCAGGACAGCTCTGAGATGGAACACTGAACACAGAAGGGCTGAAAGGAGGAGCAACAGAGAGACATGGCAAGCATCAGTCCACGGGGCCAAAAGCTGCCAAGGGTACCCGGGCATGCACAGGGCAGGGCCTCCGAGGATGGGGCCGGGATGGACGCCAGACCAAGACCTGAACAGGTAAAGGCGACTCCCCTAAGGTGAAAATGGGATGGGACGGGTCAGAGGAGGTGCTGGAGGTGAGAGGATGGAGCCGACTACAGCGAGGTGAGGACAGAGGACGGGTGAAAGGTGGACTCCAGTCTGGGTCCTGAGCAGGCGCTGGGGATGAAAGAGCTTCAGGACGAGTCCGCCGAGGTGAGGACTGCGGACCCGGATGGGGTAGATGGCGGAGAAGGGGCCATGAGCACACACGCCTGACCCCACTACGGCGCCGACCGGACCGTCGAGACCACGTCTCCCACAATACTCTGGGCGGCGACGGCGCGCCGCCACGGTGAAGGGAGGGGACGTGCCCGGGGAGCCGCATGCGGACGCGTCAGGGCTGAACTGTGGAGTCTGACACCCTCCGCTCACCAGCTTGATGACTTCGGCGGGAATGGGCGGAAGTCGCTGACCCGCGGGGCGCCGTTTCCTCCCGCCCTCCGAGACACGCTGAGCTGTGATTGGATGGGGGGCTGACCCCGCCCACACCCCAGCTCCTGACAGCCGCGGAAATGCAGAGGCCGCAGTGCGTCTTCGCTGCAACCCGGGACCGCTCCAAGAGCGGGCCCGCTTGGCCCCTTCGTCCCGTTCCCCAAGTGTTCCCAACCTTGGGCAGGACTTCCCCTACATGCCCGTTAACCTCCACAGTGCTTACCACTCTTTGGCATAATACACATTTTGTTTACCTCAATCATAATCTCCATGAGCCGGTATATTTGGGTTTGTGATGCGACACTGAGGGTGCTCGACCCCTCACCATCTGGGCAACGCCCCTGGCTTCGCCCAGGTTCTGGCCTGAGGCTATCATTCTGCAGTTGTCTGAGACCTACAGGGTTAAGGACCTTGTCTGGCCCATCCCCGCCGAGCTCTGCACGAGTACAACATAGAACGGACGGACCTCGAGCAAAGCGGCCCGCGTCTGCCCCACTCAAAGATGGCAGCTAACGCCCTTTCCTGCCGGGTCCGGCGAGCGCCCCCGGAAGTGACCGTAAGACAACCGAATCGTCATCTCCACGAACGGAAATACCCGAGTGCCGCCGAAGGAGCCCGAACTCCAAACCCCAGCGCCAAGCAAGGCGGGTTGCGGCGACTGCGCAGACGCAAAACGCCGGCCGGCGGCAAGAGCCGAAGCGGGCAGGCGGCGGAAATATCCGAAGCGGCGGGGCGCCCAAGGCCGTTGCCGACCTCCGCGCCGAAGCCGCTGGTGCCGCAGAAGCCGAGCCTCCTCTAGTACGCGGCCGCCGCTAGCGCAGCCACCGCCTCATCCTTCCCCACGGAGCCGCAGACCCCCTCGGGGAGGACTTGATTGAGCAGGCGAGCGGCGCGGCCCAAGAAGCGCAGGGGGGGGGCCTAAGAAGACCAGAGCGGGCGGAGGGAGCGGCCGGGGAAGGTGGAGGCGGGGCCTAGCGGGCCCGAGAACAGCCGAGTTCGTCCGAGGCCCGCCGAGCGACCCCGAGGCGTTGAGCCAGGCCGGAGCCGGACTACGGGAGCCGAGGCGGGCCGCGCGGTGGGCGCGGGGCGGAGCAGCGCGGCAGGCCGGGCGGGCGGCGGCAGCAGCAGCGGAGGAGGCCGCGGCGGCTGGTCAGAGGAGCGGCGGCAACGCAGGCGGCGGCGGGGGGCCGGGTGGCCGGGGTCCCTGGCCCCGCAGCGGCGGCAGCGGCGGCGGCGGCAGGATGATCAAGCTGTTCTCGCTGAAGCAGCAGAAGAAGGAGGAGGAGTCGGCGGGCGGCACCAAGGGCAGCAGCAAGAAGGCGTCGGCGGCGCAGCTGCGGATCCAGAAGGGTAGGGGGTCAGGGGATGGGGGTTGGGGACCGGGGGTCGGAGGTCGGAGGTCAGAGCCTGGGAAGGGAAGATGTGGGAGTCAGAAATGGGGTAATGCGATCGCTGAGAGTCAGAGATGGAGGGCTGCGAGTGTGAGGGGTCGGAAGTCAGAGCTTGAGGCTTGGAGTGTTGGGGGAATCAGAGGCGGAGTAATGCAGTCACGGGGAGGGGTCAGAGATGAGGGCCCAGTATGGAAGATTTGGGGTCTGGTCCTAAGGACCCGAAATCTGAGGGTCAGGCAGTGGAGTGGGGCTCCGGGGACTGGAAAGTCTGGGGGTCAGACGGGAACTTGGGTTTGAGGTGACAGGCTGAGAAGAGAGGGATAGCGAGGGCCGGGGATTGGAGATACGAGTGGGTGAGGATGTAGTGTGTTATGCTTGGGTCTCTGGGAACCTCAGAGTCAGACGGGTGGAGTAGGTTGGGGGCCCAAGACTCATGGATCTGGAGGTCACAGCCATTTGGGGTTTGGGGTGATACGTGGACTAAGTAGGGAAGGAATGGTGGTTACCAGGGATTAGAGATAGGGATCAGGGAGAATTTAGGCTATCGAGCTGGGACTCTCAGAGTCAGAGGGAGTAAGGAAGGGTGGGGTGGGGGGTTGGGGACTTGAGAGTGTAGGGGTCAGATGAGAACCTGGGGAGACAGGCAAAGAAGAGGAGGGAAAATAGGTACTAGGGATTGGTGTAAGAGGATGATTTAGGATATGGGGGAAACAGGATCCTTGAGTTTGGGTGGATAGATAGATATTGGAGAGTGGAGGTCATGGTTGGGAGCCTGAGGTTTAGGGTGGTCAGAAGCTGTTGGAGGCAAGGGGTTTGGGGGCCACGTGGCAATGGGGGCCCTTGGGACCTGGGTTGGGGAGACTTGGGGCTGTGGATTCAGAAAAGTTGGAGTTTACCCTGAGCCAGGAGCTGGGACACACAGCTGCAATTGAACATGTGTGTTTGGGATATGCTGTGGTTCCAGAAGAGCCCACTTGGAAACTGGGGAGTGGGAGAGGGTTGGCAATGTGGAGCACAGCCTAGGACAGAGGCCCAGGGGTCCAGGAGGAGGCCATGGCGGCTCTGCAAATGCCTGCCCTGAGTGTTCTCCCCTCTGTCTCTCTCTCTCTCTCTCTATCTATCTCCTCTCTCTCTCTCTCTCTCTCTCTCTCTATCTCCTCTCTCTCTCTCTCTCTTTGGGGGTGGAGGGGCAGGGTGTCTGTTGCTGGGGCTGGAGTGCAGTGGCATCATCATAGCTCACTGAAGCCTCCAACTCCTGAGCTCAAGCAATCCTCCTGCCTCTGCCTCCTGAGTAGCTGGGACTACAGGCATGCACCACCACACTTAATTTTTTTTTTTTTTGTATAGACAGGGTCTCATTATTGCCCAAACTGGTTTCTAACTCCTGGCCTCCCAAACTGCTAGGATTACAGGCACAAGCCACTGCGCCTGGCCTCTTTCTCACTTACTTCCTCTCTCTCTTTCTATCCGCCTTCTTTGCTGCCCAAACCCAGATATAAACGAGCTGAACCTGCCCAAGACGTGTGATATCAGCTTTTCAGACCCAGACGACCTCCTCAACTTCAAGCTGGTCATTTGTCCTGATGAGGTGAGGGCCCACATGGCTGGACTCCGATGAGCAGACCAAGGATAGACCCACCAAGGGGACGGAGAGCTGGTTTGCCCATCAGGCCCTGCGAGATGGGGCCCTAACACCTTCTTCTTTTCTTCCCCCCTTCCAGGGCTTCTACAAGAGCGGGAAGTTTGTGTTCAGTTTTAAGGTGAGTCCCAGGTGCCCAGGGGTGGCTCCCTGGACTGACAAGGCAGCAGCTGAGGCCCTGCCAGGCACCTACCCACCTCCCCTCTTTTTCCTGGAGCCAGGTGGGCCAGGGTTACCCACATGACCCCCCCAAGGTGAAGTGTGAGACGATGGTGTATCACCCCAACATTGACCTCGAGGGCAACGTCTGCCTCAACATCCTCAGGTGAGGGCACTGGCCCTCTACTGCCCTCCCCAGCCCTGCCTATTAGGCCCCTTTTATGGCCTAGTGGGCATTGTCCCCTTCTGGTCTGTGTCCTTTCATTTCCAAGTCGTCTTCATGGCCTGACCTTGCATGGCCTGATCTCCATGCCCTCCCCCTCAGCTTCTTATATCCTCACTCTCCTGTGCCCTGGGCCTGACCTGTCCAGTACCAGCAGGGCCTGTGGCATCCTCCCACTGACCAGCCCCTGACCGTGATGCTCTTTGCCCACAGAGAGGACTGGAAGCCAGTCCTTACGATAAACTCCATAATTTATGGCCTGCAGTATCTCTTTTTGGTGAGTAGGAGGGGGTGCTTGAGGCTGGAGGTGGGCGGTTGGCCTTCTGCCCCTCTGGCCTGTTGACCCCCACCTGTACTGGCTATAGGAGCCCAACCCTGAGGACCCACTGAACAAGGAGGCTGCCGAGGTCCTGCAGAACAACCGGCGGCTCTTTGAGCAGAATGTGCAGCGCTCCATGCGGGGTGGCTACATCGGCTCCACCTACTTCGAGCGCTGCCTGAAATAGGGTTGGCGCATACCCGCCCCTGCCAGGGCCACCAGCCCCGGCATCCCCTGCAAATATTTATTGGGGGCCACAGGTGGGGGGCGGGGAAGGCGGCCGGTGGGGGAATCCCCTGACTTGGCCTTGTCTCCCCTCCCTGCCACCTGTCCCTAGTTTTTTTTTTTAACCACCATGTGATTAAGGTCGGCGCTGCCTCCCCCGACCCACTCAGCGATGGGAAATGAATTGGCTTGTCCAGCCCCCTCTCCCCACTGGGTGCTTTCTAGCCCCCACTCTGGGCCGTGGGGTGGGTAGGCAAGGGGCCTGGGTAGCTGGGCCCGGGCAACCCACCCCTCCACCACTGGAGGTCCCACCAGGCTATTAAAGGGGAATGTTACTGCATGGCCTCTGCTTCTTCCTTCTGTGGGGTGGGAGGGGAAGGTGAGGTCCACCAGGGGCTCCAGAAGGAGGGGAGGTGGAAGGTGTGTGGTCACGGGTGGCATTGGGGCATCGGACAACAGGCTGCCCAGTGCCTGGGGCAGCCCTGGGAATGATGGGGATACCAGGCCTGAGCCTCAGGTTGAGTGGAATGAAGCCCACTCTGGGATGAGGAACGAGGACAGGATCCAGTGATCACTGGCGTCCTGCCCAGTAGGCCAGCATAGAGGAAAGTACGCACCATTTTCCAGCTTTGCCCCTTTTTGGCATGGGTGGGCCAACCAAAGTGGAGGAGGCAGTTCGTGCCTGGCACTCTCTGAGGCCTCAGACAGAAGTCAAGAGTACCAGAGATGACCGGCGCGCTCACATGTATTTGGGAGCTACGGGGTGACTGGGCGGAAGGCGCCCAAAGGTGCTCTGGAACGGGTCACTCGGGTGGGACTCAAAGCCGTAGAACACCTTCGGACCTTCCGCAGAGAAATGGGAGCTGGTGCGCATGCGCTCAGACGCCGGCCTGATCCAGGGCGCATGCGTGCGCGCGTTCTGCCGCCTCCCAGCGTTCCGGGTGCGAGCGGGGTGTGTGACGTCAGGTCGTTTAATCCGGAAACGGCACCGGCGGCAGAGGCGACAGAGCCGAGGGGACTTCGTTGGGGGGCGCACCGGGTGTTCCAGCAAGAGGAGCGTGACCCGGAAGCGGAAACGGGTCCCCGTCCCGTCTCCGGTGAGTGGCCTCTGCTGGACCGCGGATCCCGGGCGGGCGCGCGGGCGGCGGCTAGTCGAGGGTCTCTTCGCCAGGCCGTCCATTGCCTTGCCTCTCCTTGGGACTTTGGCCTCACCATCAGGGTCCCCAACCCCGCCTTGCCTTCGATGTGCAGGGCCCATTGACGCTCCATTCTCGGTGTACAGGGCGCCCCAGTGCCCACAACTGTGTTCTCACCTAGGTCCCCCCAGCATTCAGGGGCACCTCCCAATCCTCAATTTCAGAGCGCCCACATCCACCTATCCTGCCCGCCCCGGTCACGTCCCCCACGGCCCCAGGTGCTCCAGTTCACCCATTCATGTCCACTCCGCTTCCACCCTCTCCCCTGGGTCTGGAGAGAGAAGCTTAACTTCCACGCCCCAACCTCTGTGGGGGCATAGTGATGAAGGAAGGGCTTGGACCAGCACACGATGGATGGTTTGCAGCTGTCCCTTCTTCCGTCTGCCCAGGGCAGCCCCAATGTTCTCAGCTGCTCCCTCTGGCCCTTCATTCATGCCTCCTAGCCCTGTTTGCCCCTTCCCATTTCCTAAGGCCTCTGTGACCCCCCTCTGCTGCTTCTTCTCCTTTGGTCCCCCACGCCCCATAGGTAGGCCTCACATCTGTCTCAAGCTTGTCAGTGGGCTCCTACTACCATGGACCTTTTGTTCGGGCGCCGGAAGACGCCAGAGGAACTGCTGCGGCAGAACCAGCGGGCCCTGAACCGTGCCATGCGGGAGTTGGACCGCGAGCGACAGAAGCTAGAGACCCAGGAAAAGAAAATCATTGCAGACATCAAGAAGATGGCTAAGCAGGGCCAGATGGTGAGTTTGGATAGTCAGGGGCAAGGTGCCATCACTCAGGCACTGCTGAGTAGCAGTAAACAAGACAGGACCCCAAAAGACAGGTGCTTCAAGGAAAATGAACGAAGGGCAAGTGGAGCTTTCCTCATTTGGGCTCTGGAAGACCACCTCCAAGGAAATGAGCCAAGGCTTGAGTGAGGCGAGTGAGCCTGCAGATCTGGGCAGGGGAGTGTCAAGCAAACAGAGCAGCTAATGTTAGACCAGAGAGGCTCAGCAAAATGGCAGGCCACTGGGGAGGGCCAAGGGTTGGGCGCAGGCCTGACAACTCAGAATTGTGGACCATAGTGGGAAATGAGTTGAAAGGTTAACCACAAGGCTGTAAGAAGACAAAGACAGCCAGAACCAGTAAGGAAAGCATTGAGAAAGAACAGACGGTTTAATGGGTAACAGGGTTTTTGCCTATACAACTGGGCAGGAGGTGCCATTTCTTGGAATGGGCAAGGAAGGGCAAGGACTCAACAGCTGAGTCTGGGATAGGTTTGTATGTGATTCTGGATAGAGTCAAGGTGTGAACTTGTGTCAGGCAGCGTAAGAGGCAGACTTTTTGTTTAGGCTGGGGATAGAAATTGAGGAATTTTGTTCACTCAAGGGAGTGACAGTATACACGGAGGGAAAAGGACCTCCTAAGCAGTGAACCCAGGCCTCCCCTCCAGCATTTAGGGATCAAGAGTTAAGGACCTTACAAAGGAGTCCAAGGAGTGGTGGCCCATGAGGCAGGAGGGTGAGGTCAGGAAGGGGGAGGAAGTAATGACTATTGGCTTAACCCACATAAGGTCTCTGGAGACTTCGGTGAGAATGGTGGAATGGTGGGGGCACCACAACTGCACCACTGCAGTGTCCTCAATATCCTTGTCTACTCCACAGGATGCTGTGCGCATTATGGCAAAAGACCTGGTGCGCACCCGGCGCTACGTGCGCAAGTTTGTGTTGATGCGGGCCAACATCCAGGCTGTGTCCCTCAAGATCCAGACACTCAAGTCAAACAACTCAATGGCACAAGCCATGAAGGGTGTCACCAAGGCCATGGGCACCATGAACAGACAGGTACATTTTTCCTGATCCCCTCTTCCCACCCCACCTGACCCATGAGTACCAGTCTCTCTCTCCACCTTTCAGCTGAAATTGCCCCAGATTCAGAAGATCATGATGGAGTTTGAGCGGCAGGCAGAGATCATGGACATGAAGGAGGAGATGATGAACGATGCCATCGATGATGCCATGGGTGACGAGGAAGATGAAGAGGAGAGGTATGGGGAAACTGAGAGGTTTGCCTTGCCCTCACCTCACATAGCGCTCATGAGAGTTCCTTCTCTCTTCCCTAGTGATGCTGTCGTGTCCCAGGTCCTGGATGAGCTGGGACTGAGCCTGACAGACGAGCTGTCAAGTGAGTGCTCCAAAAAGGAGGTTCCACTTCCCACCCACAGCCCAGCAACAGGCAGACTCTCCCTCTGCCTACATTACTTCCCTGTTTTCCTACCCCCACCCTTTCTCCCTACAGACCTCCCCTCAACTGGAGGCTCACTCAGTGTGGCTGCTGGTGGGAAAAAAGCAGAGGCTGCGGCCTCAGCCCTGGCTGATGCTGATGCAGACCTGGAGGAGCGGCTTAAGAACCTGCGGAGGGACTGACTGCCCCCACCACTCCAGGGGTACCAGTGGATGCCCAGATTGTTACCAAGACTGCTCTGTAATAAAAGAAATTGAACACTAGTTTCTGGGCCTGTGTGACTACTAGCCTGATGTGGGACCAGGCTGGCGTCCCTGGGGGTTAAGAACACCAGTTACTTGGGCAGAGCTCAGTAAAGCGGCACTTAGCATAAGCTAAGTACCAGATTGGTTGGAGTTTGGGGTTAGGGGTAACAAGCCAAGTCCACCTGGGATGTTCAGGGCTTGGCGGCTACGGTCAGCTGTGCACCCAGTTCCAACACCCATTCCCAGCCTCTACTCCCAACATGGTGAGCTCCCTGAACACCTTGGGAGTCCAAGCCCTCATTTGCCACACTGTAGTGCCCAACACTGCTCCGGTGATGGGTTACTGAGAACACTTGAGGATGGCCCAGGCCAACAGATAGGGGCAAGGGGTGGCCAGTCCAACTTGGGATTCCCACTGAGGCTCAGCTGGAGAATAGCCAAGAGTCATTAAGACAGGGATAATGGTGTCAGTAGTTTCAGTAAGGATGGATGGCAACAAGGACAAAACTACACCTGGGAGGTCTCTCTCTGATGAGAAATAACTGGTAAGAGTGGCCACTCAACCTAGGGGCCTCACCCTGCCTACCCATCCACAAGGTTCCTGACAGCCTCTATCATGTGCATCCTTTACCATGCCTGACCCTCCCAACACCAGTAAAGGTCCAGGAAGGATGTTCTTCCTCACTCCCTAGGCATCCACATAGGTTCGGGCAGGCTGGGGGCAAAGTCCCTCAGGGCCACCACTGCTTGATGAGGGTGAGAAGATGCAGTCAGAGACCAGGCCACAAAACCACAGCCCCCCACCAGCCGAAGCCTGAAGAACTGGTGAAGTTTTTATTAAATCCACAGAAGTAAAAACCATTTATCGTGTGGGACTTGGGGATGGGGCCACCAGGGAGTGGGAGTCAGGCCACCAGAGGGGTGGGGATGGGGTGACAGGACAGAGAACAGAGCCAGGCTGGGCTGGCCAATGGGGACCCAGCCTCAGGGACCATCACCAGGGCCACCAGACAGCTCCTGGGAGCTCAGGCCAGCACCAGGCAGGCTCAGCGGCGGGGGCTCCACCAGCACAGCAGAGAACTTGGTGTCACCGAAGGCCTCGTTCATGCGCGTCTCGAAGAAGCGCTGCAGGCCGATGATGGACTGCACGTCCGCCTTGTCCTGGGCCAAGCAGGGATGTGGTGGGTAGGTGGGTCCTGGCTCTTGCACAATATCCACCTGCCCATAGCCCCCCATTCCACGGGCTCACCTCAGTCAACTTGTTGAACTGCTTGAACATGCGGCCCACATCCTGGGCAAACTCCTGGGGGGAGCTATAGGGAGGTGACAACTTCTCCTGGAGGCGGGCGCGGATCAGGGTCAGATCCAGGGTGCCACCAGGCTGGTCCTGCAGGCAGAGACCACATACACAGGTTGAGGATGAGGCCCAGCAGTCACCACCCCTTCTCTCTCCTGTTCTAGGACTCACCAAGGAGAAGGTAGAGTCGGTGGCCAGCTGATGTAGGGGGCGGCAAGGTTCATGACAGAACAGGGCCAGCAGGACACGCTCGCATTTCTATAGACAGTGCAACAGATGTCACAGTTCTGGGCAACCCCATCAAACCTGAAAGCTACCCCAACCTGAGCAGCCCCTGTCCTCACCCGCTGGTTGGCTGGTGAGAGCTTGGCCACCACACCAGTGCTGTCTGAGTCCAGGCTGAGGTTGCCATCCTCCTCCTTCAGGTCAGGGAGCACATGGCAGAGTGAGCAGCTCCACTCCTCCCTAGAGGGAAGAATAAGGGGCTGCACAGGACCCTGCCCAGCCCCCTGTGCCCTGCCCATACCCCCACCCAGCCTTACACTCACCCTGGCACATCCTGCAGGGAAGGTAGGTGGCAGTCTAAGTGAAAGCAAAACTCACACTGGTTGCACATGACCAGGTCACCTGGCTTCTGACAGACACGGCAAATGGTGGCACTGTCATCCAGGGTGCCTGGGCCACCACCTGGGGCCGAGGTACCCTCAGGAGCCACCACCTCCAGGCCGGAGCTGGTGCTGCCACTGGGTGAGGCCAGGCGGGGGCCCTCAGCACCAGGACCCTCTGCCAGAGCCATCAGCACAGGTTTGGTCTCAGGGCCTTCAGTGGCAGCAGGAGGGGCTCCAATGGCAGCCTCTGTCTCCTCCTCCTGCAAGGTGGTGAGGGAGGAGTGTTGTTCAACAGGGTCCAGACCGGGGTGACAGCCGTCATCCTGTAGTCATGGTTCCCTGGGTCAGGCTCACCTTGACGATGGCCATGCCAGGTAACGGTGGGGCACCAGGAGTTGCTGGGGGAGCAGTCCCAGGCTGGCCGGCAGCTGCAGCAGCAGCGCCCCGCTCAATAACAATAAGATTGTAGTCCTCAGTGGTGCTGCCCGGGAAGACCTTGAAGACTGGGGGCTGGCTGTCAGCCGTGAGGTCCAGGTCCAGGCGTTCAAGGCTCACTCGTGGCACCTTGCGCATGAGGCCGCTCACCTCACCCTCACCCGAGCGGGATCTGTAGGTGCAACTTGGTGTGAACCCTCACCCTCCATCTATACCCATCCCTGCCTATCCTCCAGCCTGGGAACTGCCACGCTCACCGCTTCACGCCTGACACGTGGGGCTCGGCACTTGAGTAGGGATCATCTGCTTACAGGACAGAAAAAAGTGACCAGCAAGTTGGGATGAATACAGCACACTAAGGCCTTCCACACCCACCAGGCAGACCCACTCACCCGACCCGAAGCCATAGCCTTCCTGTACCTCCATGGGCTGCAAACAGAGAACAGGTGGCCCTCAGTGGGGTAGGAACTCCAGGGGACCTCCTGCCCTGCCCCCTTTCCTGGCTCTTCTCCCCTGCTCACCTGGCCACTGCCAGAGCCCTGCTTGCTCAGGGTCCCTGGGGCTCTCGGAGGAGCCATAGGTGCAGGGCCTGTTGAGTTGGTGCCAGGACGCTCCGCCACAATCTTCCCTGTGGGAAGAAAACAGTATTAAGTATGTGCAGCAACTAGGGTGATAACAAAGTAGAGCTGAGGCAAAAGACAGACCCACCAAAGGCCTCAGCACTCTTGGTCCAAGCATTGAGATCCCACTGAAACTTCATCTCGCCATGTGGCTCAACGGGATCCACAATCATCTTGAGGGCCCGGTGCAGCTGGAAGTAGATCTGGTGAAGCAGGGCAAGAGCACATCAGGAAATGAATAAGGTTCCAGGGAGCTGGGGGCCACCCACTGGAGCCCATCACCTGGGAGCCCAGAAGTACACACCAACTTCTTAGAAAGCAGTAGGGCTGTGTTGTTGTCGCTCTCCAGAGCCCAAGAGGCAAAGCGCAGGATGTGCTCCTGGTGCTTCTGGATCTTGGTCATGGTCCAGTGCTGCCGCTCCAGGCGTTCCTGCTGCCCCTCAGTCACCTTCTGCAGGTGTAGAGGGTGCAAGATCAGCGAGGAGGGCAGAGAGTACCAGAATCCCTCCCCACTCTGGAAAGCGTCAGGAACCAGCAGAGGGGGCCAGGGACCCTCTTGCCAACCCAAGGCTTACCTGGGCATCATTAACTAGTACACGGCCCCGCTTGTTCAGTTCCTTCATGATCTGCAGGATGGCCATCTTGACATCCACCTGCACACGCTTCTGTACGTCAGACACCTGGCGGATCCTAGGGGGCAGGGCAGGTCAAGTTGGGCAGGGTCTCACCCAAGACCACCCCCAAAGCCCTGGCACCCATACTTACGAGCTGCGAACCTCCTTGGTGCTCTTCTGCAATGTTGCATGTTTGTCCCCGAGACGCTTCACCAGTGAGGCCAGGAGCTTTCGCTGGTTCCTCACTGCATCCTCTAGGAACTGGTACCTGAGAGCAGACAGATGGGCCTGGGTGCTGAACCTGGAAACAGGTCCCACCCACCCACGGTGCCTTGGGACTCACTGGTGGTCCTTGTGGGCATTAAGCTGGCAGTCTCGACAGGTGAGGGTGTCACAGCTCTCACAGAACAGCACAAGGGGTTCATGCTTGTGTACATTGCAATAGACAGTACGCTCACCATCCCGAGATTTGGCCGGCCCTAGGGAGTAGAAACCGTAAAGCTGGACCTTGTTCTTGCCCACCAACAACTCAGGCAGCAGATAGAGCTTGGGGCCTCATTTCCACCCTTTCCTGCAACCTTGGGCCATCTATTGAGAAGACCTACAGGATACATGGCAGTGGCCAGGGCAAAGCACAGGCCTACAAGTCCAAGTCTGTGTTCCTAGAACCTCCTGCCTCAGCTTAGCAAAGAAAAACATCCCCAGTTCCTTCCAGCTTCTAGGGGTGACAACATAAAAGATAAGGATGACACCCTCTGGCAAGAAAACATTACTCCCATGCCCTCTAGTGAATACTTCTCCAAGTGGAGAAACTCATTCTGCCTACAAACCACTCTCCACCTGGAACCCTTTCTTCTCTATTCATGGTAACCTTCTCTCTTTGCTAACAAAACACCAGGATGTCTTATAATCCAAGGGCCCAGAAAAAATCTTGCAGAGTCTTCTTAGACTGGTAAAGATGAGATGTCAGACCAGGACCCTCGGAATGGTGTCAGGACCCTTCTCTGGAGCAGGATCCAGGTGCTCAGAATAATGCCATGGAAGACCAACACACCAGTAACCTCCAAGGCCTGTTTCCCCACTAAAAGCTGATCAGGCATGTTGGTCCCCAATGGACCAAACAAACCTATAACATGTAGTATCAGGACACAGGTAAGCCAGGCCTTGGCTTCCCCAGTGCCACCCATTCCTGCACCCTACCTTTGCCTGCAAGCTCTGGAATGTAGGGCACCCTGTAGACCTCTGCCCATCCCTCCTGGTTCCTCAGGCACCACAGCCACCACCTCCATCCCCATCTTCCCACCAATGCTGTCCTGTGGGATGGGAGGAATCACAGCACAGCTACCTCAGGAGAGTCTCAAGCCTCTTTCCACACCAAAAACAGCCCAGAAAAACCTGGCAATACCTAACTAAGCTTTAAATAGGTCGCTAACAAGTCATAGCT